ATATGCAATTCCCGAGCACTTATTCAGCATCCATAGGGAATTGCATTGCTAAGTCAAAGGTCATGTTTCTCAGGTGGCTCGAATCCAGCAGCCACTCCATGAGAGAAAGATGAGCAATCACATCACTTCCTATGTGGTTTATAGCCTCAGAAAACCTGGTGGTGGATCAACTGTGACTTCCAACTTGAGTGAGTTGCTTGCTTCATACTCTGGTGGATTCTTTCTTAAAGATCTTTAAAGTTTTCATGTGACCTAGTAGATAATATCAGCACTAAATTGTTAATAAAAATTAATAAACCAAGATAATAGAAAATTTAATTCCATCATCTGTTTCAGAATTCAACAATGTCATTTTATTATCGTTTTTTGAAGGGGGCAATGCTGCCTTTTTTTCCCCCCCAAAAAAAACAATGTTGGGGATTTTTCCCCCTTTAAAAGTCTTTAGTTTTAAGTTAAAGTTTGAAATCTTTGCTAGAAATTCAGAAGTGATGCTAAGCTTCATACTCTTAGGGTGCATTACCTTACTGCTCCCAGAGATTTCATGGGATGTTCAGTACTCACTTCCAGCACTACAACTCAAAGGCATCGCTTCTTCTTCTGTCATCCTTAGTCATTGTCCAGCTCTCAGATTCATAGCAAGTGACTGAAAAGATAATATTCCATGGTCTTTCAAAAGAGCAAAGAGGTATGTCTTGGCAAAAGTGCAGCCAGAGTGCTCTTTTGGAGGCAGAAATGACAGAACTTCGTTTCACATACATTGGGCATGTTGCTAGGCAGGCTTTTCCTTGGAGAGGGACATGTTAGGAAAGGTGGAGTGTTGACACAAGAAGGATCCTCAGCCAGATGGTCTGACACAGTAACTTCAGCACTGCGCTGTAATGTGGCAGAGATGAGAATGACACAGGACAGGACAGGGTTCAGATCTATTGTTCAGAGGGTCAATGAATCTTACTCCTAACAACAGTATTCATTTGAATACTACCTACCATTTCGTATGGGTCTTATCTGAAAGCAGAGAGTACCAGAGGAATGTCTATTTGTGTTTCATTGACTATGCAAAGGCATTTGACTGTATGGATCAGAGTTGTGCCTGACCTTGAGAAGAATGGGAATCCTTGAACACTTGATAGTGCTTATGCAAAACCTATATTTGGACCAGGAGGCAGTTGTCAGAACAAGAAAACACTGCATAGTTCAAAATCAGGAAAGGTATATGCTAGGGCTGCATCCTGTCTCCATTATCGTTTCAGTTTACATGCAGAACAGATCATGCAGGAGGCTGGCATTTATGAGGAGGAATGTGGCATCAGGATTGAAGGAAGACTTAGCAACAGTTTATGTTACTCAGATGACACAGCCTTACTTGCTGAAACTGAGAAGGATCTGAGGCATTTGCTGTAGAAGGTCAAGGACCACAGACTTCAATATGGATTGAAGCTCAACATCAAGAAAACAAAGATTCTGGGCCACTGGGCCAGTTTGCAACATCATGGTATATGGAGAAGAGATTGTTAACAGCTGCAGGTTGCTTGGCTCCACAATCAACACTCTTGGTACCAGCAGCCAGGAAATCAGAAGATGACTTGCACTGTGAAATCTGCTTTCAGGGACCTCTCCAGAATACTGAAAAGCAGTGATGTCAGAATAGAGACTAAAGTATGCCTGATTCAAACCATGGTCTTTGAAATTACTTGCTATACCAGGAATATACCACGGACAGCCAAGAAAATAAGTAGGCCTGTCTTGAAGAGGTGAAACTAGGCTGCTTCTTGGATTCAAGGACTTTGAAGCTCTGTCTCACATCCTTTGGGTATGTTACCAGGAGGGACCAGTTCTTAGAGGAGGACATCATGCCTGGAAGGGTGGAGAGACAGCACAAGAGAGGAAGACTCCAGATGAAATTAATTGACTTAATGATGGGGTAATAGGGGTAGGTGTGTTGGAGACAATGAAATTGTCTCAAGATAGTGTTCAGAGCTGTTGTATGTTCACAGGGCTGTTGTGAGTCACAAGTGACTCGATGGTACATAACAACAACAATAACAACAAACAGCACAATTGCCTCAATAGCTGCAACTTCTAGTGGAATATTACATGCTGCCATCTGAATGCTCCATGAAAGAGCAGACTTGATGATAAAGAAGAGAATACAGATAGTCGACTTTTATAAGCAAATCAATTAATAGGTTGCCTGAGTTTCTATATCAAGTTTCTAAATAGATTTCTAGAATAATGCTACTACTAAGATAATTAAGAACATTTTAAATTGTTGTTGTTGTTATGTGCCATCGAGTCACCTGCAACTCATACTGACCCTGTATACAACAGCTCTGAAGCCTGCCCTGTCCCGAACCAGTCACTGTATCCATTTCATCCTGGGTCTTCCTCTCCTGCATTGTCCCTCCACCCCTGGGACCATGATGTCCTTCTCCAAGGATCAGTTCTTCCAGACCACATGCCCAAAGTACGTGAATCAGAGCTTCAGAATCCTAGTCTCCAAGGAGAAACTTGGTTTTACCCTCACCAAGACAGACCTATTTATTTTCTTGGCAGTTCATGGTATGTTCAAGACTCTTCTCCAGCACCACAACTCAAAGGCATCAATTCTTATTCTGTCATCCTTAGTCATTGTCCAGCTCTGATTCATAGCAGTAATTGTGAAGACTTTGGCCTTGATCAGGCACACCTTCGTCTCTTGACTGACATTGTTTCTTCTTAGTACTCTGGAGAAGTCCCTGACAGCAGACTTTCGCAGTGCAGTTCATCTTTTGATTTCCTGACTGCCGGTGCCAAGAATGTTGATTGTGGAACCAAACAAGTTGAAACTGTAACAGCCTCAATCTCTTCTCTATCATGATGCTGCCAGTTGGCCCAATGGTGGAATATTTCCTTGATGCTAAGCTTCAATCCATATTGAAGACTACAGTCTTTGAACTTCTGCAGCAAATGCCTCAGGTCCTCTTCAGTTTCAGCAAGCAAGGTTCTGTCAAATGCATAACATAGGTTGTTGTTGAGTCTTCCTCCAATCTTGATGCCACATTTCTGTTCATAAAGCCCAACCTCCCAAATGATCTGTTCCGCATATAGATTGAGAAGACATGGAGACAGGACACATTTCTGATGCACTTCTTCACATGCAGTGCTTCCCTGCTCTGTTCTGAGGGCTGCTTCCTGGCCCAAGTATAGGGTTTTTGTTTGTTTGTTTTATTTAAATTTATTATTTATTTCAGTAAAAATTTACAAAGACTTTGGATTTCCATTCATCCATTGTTGCACTATTCTCCCCTCCCAACCCTCTCTCCTAGCATATTGCCCTCTTGGAAAAGTAAAAGAAAAATTCTTTCATTGTATTACAAACCCTCCCCTAGGTCCACTCCACCATGTAGCCTTCGCTCTAGACTCCTGTCATGACAAAAATACCTAATCACATATCCCTTTTAAACAGTTTTCTCCCTCATCTGTTTCAATGCAGTATACATTATTGAACCCATCTTTCTCAATCTCTTCCCCAACCCCAGGGTCAGTTCTATTTTACAGCACTGGCACCATGAAGTATTTGTCCTTTTGTGACCTAGATACTTCACTCAGCATAATGTCCTCCAGAGTCACCCATTTTGAATAATATTGCATGAGTTCCTTGTTTTTCAATGCAGCATAGTATTATTCCATTGCATGAATATATCACAGCTTCTCTATCCGTTCGTTTGTTGATGGGCACTTAGGTTGTTTCCAACTCCTTGCTATTGTGAACAAAGATGCAATAAACATGGGTGTACATATATCTGCTTGGATGTCAGTTATGATCTCTTTGGGGTATATTTCTAGTAGTGGAATTGCTGGGTCAAATGGTATCTCTATTTGCAACTTTTTGAGAAAAGTGCCATACTGCTTTCCACAGTGGTTGCACCATTTTACACTCCCACCAACAGTGATTAAGGGTTCCAGTTTCTCCACAACATCTCCAGGATTTGTTGCTTGCTGTTCTGTTAAATTTTGCTATTTTCTCTGGCATGAGATGGTATCTCATAGTTGTTTTCCAAGTATAGGTTTTGCATGAGCACAATCAGGTGTTCTGGGATTCTGATTCTCCCCAAAATTAACCACAGTTTGATGTGATCAACGCAGTCAAATGCTTTTGCATAGTCAGTGAAACACATTGCTTTCTGCCAAGACCCATCTGATATTGGTGATATGTTTCTACAGCCCCAAAATCTCTAAACCCAGCTTGTATTGCTGGTAGTTCTCTGTCGTTGCTGGAGACTCTTTAGCAGGATTTTGCTTGTGTGTGATATGAGTGATATATGATAATTTCCACACTCTGTTGGGTCACCTTATTTCGGAATGGAAATAAAAATTGATCTCTTCTAGTTAATTGTTAACCTTTAAACTTATTCTTTTCCTCTCTCATTCTATAGGGGGGAAAATGAGACTTTTGGAGGGTTACTAAAAAGTGAAATTCCAGTAGAATGTAAAATTGTCATTAAGTTTTGCTTTAATCCTTTCATGAAGGCATGTCTTACTGTCTGTAATATGGAGAGTCCTTATCTGCATGATATTTAGGACATTTTAAGTTTTTTTAGATATCATTTAAATTCCCACAGAGGTTATGGTGTGGATTTATAATAGATGAAGTAGATCACATGCTTTTAGAATTTACATTTACTTTGGAACAAATTAAATTTATTTTTAAAGTAATTTTAAAGTAATCTTTTAAACATTAGATTTCTTATGCATATGTATGTAGTAATGCAAAGTTATGTTTACTTTAGTTTATTGAGATTGGAAAGTTCTTTAAACTTATAAAAAGAATTCTTTTTACCCTGCTCGCCTGCTCTAGATTGTAGCAACTAAATGTACCAAGAACTATTTCATCTTGCCTTACACAGGGAATGTATTAGTATAAAATATTAGTCCTACATATTTAAAAATCTTCAGGAAAAAGTTACTACTTATAAGTTAAAGATGTAAGAACAATTTGTCATTTTAATTTCTTTTTTAAGGTGATGGATGTGGATACACTGTACTAGGCCCTGAAAGTGGAACCCTTACTTCTATAAATTACCCGGAAAACTATCCCAAAAGCACCGTTTGTGAATGGGAGATTCGCGTAAAGGTGGGACAGAGAGTGCACATCAAGTTCGGTGACTTTGACATTGAAGATTCTGATTCTTGTCACTTTAACTATGTAAGAATTTATAATGGAATTGGAGTCAGCAGAACGGAAATAGGTAGGAAATTTTTATTTCTAATAAATGTGCATGTCATTGCCTAAATTTTAAATCTAAAGCTTATACTGATGCTTAATAGTTAATAACTATACTGTAGAAACTGGTATGTGGGAAATTACGGAAAATGTGGATATTTCAAAATGACAAGACGATCTCTTTGTTTATTGACTTTTCAAAGAAATATTTTTGGTAGCTTTGAATACAACGGAAGAAGTAAGAAGTTAAATATATTTTTGTGCTTTTCTTTGCTAATGGTATTTGAGTTGAGTATAAGAGTAATTTATGCTGAGGGAGCCATATAGTATATGATTAAAGGCCTACACTCTGGATTCAGACTATCATAACGTGAATCCCAGCTCTGCTCTTAGCTTATGGTGTGACCTTGTGCCAGTTACCAAGCTTTCTGTTCCATCATTTGTAAAAAAGAGAATAACCTTGTACATGTAAAGGATTTAGAGCAGCAATGACACAGATTCATGCTCAGTAAACTCAGCTTCTTTTGACATTGAGTTGACTGAAGCTTGATGACTCAGTACAACAGAACAAAATGTCATAGCAATGCAAAAGCTACAATAGTATGACAGACTGACAGGAGGTAGTTCTTAAGAGCCATGGTACTCAATTGTGATTGTGTCAGATTATTGATAAACACTATATTGTTGTTGTTGATTGCCTTTGAGTTGAGCACAACTCATAGCTACCCTGTGAACAAAAAGCCTGAAGCCCCTCTACAACCATCAACATTTATCAAAGTTCATGGAGTTTCCTGAGGCATGTTGTTTAGGAAATGGGTGCCACTCCTGATTCCAAACCTGTCATAGTATGTTATTGTTATTATCTTGAGCCTTGGTGGTATAGGGTATACCGTCTTTGATTGCTGTCCAAAAGGTCAGTGGTTTGAAGCTACCAGGCCCTCTGTAAGAAGACAAGACCTTGTTCTTCCTCTTACTACTTAGAGTCGGCTAACCCCTAGTTCACCATCAGTAGGAGTTGACTCAACAGCAGTGGAGTTTATTTGTTTACCCCCTTCCTACACTAGTTGAGTCATACTTGATTGGGTGTAACCTAGACCTCCTTATTTTAAAAACTTCCCAGGAAAATATGCACTGTGCTGCTAATGTTTAGAACCATTGGTTGAAATATCAGTACTTTACTCTTAAATAAGAAAAATGGAAAACTTAAGATGGAAAATGTTGTTTTCGTGAGCTAACCTTATAAAATTTAAAACTTTAGAATTCCTTCAGACTTTGTTTGGAAACATTTTCTGGTACTGGTGTATAAAATGTGTTTTAGGAGTATAATCAGAATTTAGTACCCTGTGATAGGTCATACTCAACTTCTGACACATTTGAACTAGGATGAACTACAGTTACAACCATTTGGGACTATTTTTGTGCATTTTATTGTTAGTAGTAGATACTACATGTAGTCTTACAACATGTAATTTGCATGTAATTTATTATCATTCTCAGAGGTTCAAATAAAGATAAGAGTAACCCCTAACAAAATAAATAACAAAAATAAAGGCAATGATGAAAACTTTAAAAATGAGGTTTTACTTACATCAGAAACGATTTATGATGGAGTTGCTGAAATGGAACCCCATCATAAGTTAGGGTCTGTCTGTATTTAATTAGATATCATAGTATGTTTATTATGAAATCTCTTTTCCATTCTTTGGTTAAAAACTTTGCTATTTTTTGGCCCCTTATCGAACATAGGATAAATCTCTAGCCTGGTATTCTAGGTTCTCATTAGTGTCTCAACCAACTTTTGATTAACCTGGTGACTTGATCATGACATGAATATGTGGTGCCAGTTAAACTTTGGAAATACACTACAGCTGAAGTTGTAGAATTGCTATTACTGTAATAGAAAACAACTGTATGTTAAATGCTTCAGGTGTTAAAATAGCAAATAGATAGTCCCACCTGCCACACATTCGTGCAACAACAAATACAAGGTGACCCATGCTAACGTAAAGCCTCTGGAAGTTCACAGGAAATAAAGAAGATAGAGAAAAACATTAAATGACTCATAAGGATTCAGTAAGTCAAATTAAGAATGTGAAAAATTCTACAGACTAAGTGACCTAGTTTCTTCAAGATAGAAATAACTGAAGGGGAAGAAAAGGAGGAAGGAGAAGGGAACAGTTGCAGATTGGTAGACATATTTTTAAAAATAGTATGTAGATCTTGTTTAGATCTTTATTCAAATTAGCAAAATGCAAAAAGCTTAATTTTTAAGACTGAAAAGTTTTAATAGATAGTGGATATTCAGTGATAGCAAAGAATTATTTTAGATTTGGTCTTATTAGATTTTATTTTTTGTAAATTCTGATTTTTTTCTTTTTTTAGAGAACCATTCGGAAGTTTAATTAAAATGTCTAAGATAAAAAAAATAAATAAATAAAATGTCTAAGATTTCTTTTCAAATATTTCAGAATGAGGGAAAGGGTAGCAGTGACATATATTGAAAAATTACCAGTGGCATATTGATAGCGAATGTTAACATAGGAATTGTTAGACTGCCTTTTCTCTACCTTTAGGTATTTTGAGCTTTTCCGTGGTAAAGGGTTTCATTTTTAAATTATTTTAAAAAGGGAAGACCATTATTTTTTAGCATAATAAGCCGTAACTTAACTGTTAGGGGGAATAGAATGAGGACATTGTTTTTAACTCAAGCTAGGTTCTTGTCCCAGCTCAGAACGTAATTTACTTACAGTCCTTTTTCTAAGTCATTGAACTTGCCCAGATGTCAAGATCATGATATGTTTTGCAGCAGTTGGTGTACTGTAGATATTTAATAAATCTCAGTTGTATGTTTCCATTATTTCTGTGTTTTCCCTATTCTTTCTTTAAATGGATGAGGGGAAGGCTGCAGAAAGGTTCACAAGGCCCAGTGTTGATGGTTTCACTTCGACTTTAGTTTAGGGCATTATCACCTACATATATCCAGTGGTCTTGTATTGTAGACTAATCTGGTTAATAATAGGTAAGCTTCCTGGTGTAGAGGTCATTCAGTAAAAGTGCTTGATGTTTTGGTTGAAATTGACCTTCAGAGAAGAACTGAATAGAAACAAATTAGTGTGAACATCAAGATTTCAATGATAAGGGCATGTTGTTGTTGGTGTGTGCCATTGAGTTGGAACTGACCCATAGCTAAACCTCCAGCGGGTTTTCAGAGCAGTAAAGTGCACAGGAGTAGATTGCCCATACTTCTCCCCTAGACCACCTGGCGGGTTCAAAGTGTGTACCTTTGCGATTGCAGCACAGTGTCTTACCACTTGGCCACCATATCTCTCTGCCTCTTTTCCTCTTAAGGAAAAAGAAAAAAAGAAATCCGTCCTTACCATATCTGCATTTCTTAATATATATGGTTTATATTTATAAAATTTAAGTTTTTATTTTCACTTATGTGAGCGTTAAATTTAGAGACTTCTGAATGATATTATGGAATAGTCAATGACAAGAAAAGGAGAAAGATTTTTCAAGGAAACATTTTAAAGGTTTTTCTTTCTTGAAATTAATTAGAATCTGCCTTCAGTACTTGAGCACTTGATGTACTTGGCTGTAGGACAGTAGAACAGCTATTTCCTGTTCTCTTAGAAAAGGATAATAATATATAAATACTATATTAATATGCATGAGTTTATTATGGTTTTATGTAACTTTGCTCTAAATTGCTAAACTATCCAGAAACTTTTCTGAAATAATTTAGTGTAGCAGTACTCATTTCATGTAGAGTCACTAATAGAATATGTTTAATAATATCGTTAAGGTTGGCTTTCTGATTTTGAATTCAAAGCATCTTAAATGGACTTTTTTTGAGGAAGGGAGGAAGGAAGAATATTTTTGGTACATTTTCATAGGGAAAGCGAAATATTTTAAGGCTAAGTAGTTATTATAGGAATATGGATTCTACAGAAGAAAAAAATGTAAAATGTAAATTTGTGTCTGTGCCTACATATGGGTTCAAGGTTGTTTAAAGAGATTTACTCTGTCTTGTACTTTTATCCAAGGTACCTTCTTAAATAATTTCTCAAGTCTTCCTATTTAAAGGAGAAAAAAGTAGTTTGTTCTTTATCATGAAATCTCTTGAGCAAGCTATAATGATAATGTTGTTGTGTGCCATTGAGTTAGAACTAATTCATCGTTGACCTTTCAGCGGGTTTTCAGAGCCAGTAAATTGCATGACAAGAGATTACCAGTCCTTTACTAGCAGAGTAACTAGTGGATTTGAACCTCATACCTTTATGATTGCAGCACAGCTTCTTATCATTAAGATGCCAGAACTTCCTATAATGATAGTAATAGGAAGGGAGTGCATCAGGGATGAATTTTGTCTCTATACATTTTTCATTCATTATGTAGAACAGATCATTCGGGAGGCTGGGCTTTATGAGGAAAAATGTTGCATCAGGGTTGGAGGAAGGCTCACGAACAACCTGCAGTATGCAGATGACACAACCCTGCTTGCTGAAACTGAAGAGGATATGAAGCGCTTGCTGCAGAGGGTCAAGGACTGCAGTCTTCAATATGGATTGAAGCTCAACGTCAAGAAGACAGCGATTCTCACCATGATGGATAGAAAAAAGATTGAGGCTGTTAACGGTTACAACTTGCTCGGCTCCACAATCAACACTCTTGGCACCAGCAGTGAGGAAATTAAAAGATAAATTAGGTAAATCTGCTGTCAAGGGCCTTTCCAGAGTACTGAGACGTAATGATGTCAGTCTTGAGACTAAGGTGCACGTCATCCAGTCAGTGGTCTTTGCAATTACTTGCTATGCATCTAAGAGCCGGATAATAACTAAGGATGATAGAAGAATTGATGCCTTTGAGTTGTGGTGCTAGAGAACAGTCTTGAACATACCACGGGCTGCCAAGAAAACAGATAGGTCTGTCTTGGAGAAGGTGAAACCAAGCTTCTCCTTGGAGGCTAGGATTTTGAAGTTTTGTCTTAGATACTTTGGGCATGTGGCCAGGAGGGACCTTGGA